GAGTTTAGTGTTCTCAGAGGTAAGCGTGAGGATGCTGCCCCTGGGGGTGTGGTGCAGAAGAGGGGCGTCCTCTACAGTCTGCGGAATTCCCAGAGCAGGGGGAGCTGGGGATGAGGAGGAATTGTGGGCAGTGGGAGAAGGGCAGAGCGCACAGCTTGCGGGGAGCCGTGCAGGGCGCCTGGGGTCCAAGATTGGTGGGGTGGGGGGCTCGGCTTGGTGGGGCCAGAATCACTGGGTGGCCTAGAGACCCCAATTCTTGGCTCCATCCCATCACTTCCCAACAGCAGTGACTCGGGCAACACCAGCTGCCTTAGACCTGTCTCTTCTGGGAGCCCATCCCGGCTCCGGGGCCCCTCGGGCTGGTGCGGGGAAGGGGCTCTGCGCAGAGCCACAGGTGGGGCTCCTTCTGAGCCCAGCTGGCCAGATTGGGGCAGGCACCGCGGCAGGGCGGGGAGCCCTGGGGTGGATCTCTGGGGTCTCCCGTGGCCCCTCCCTGTGGTACTATCCCAGCAGGGGCAGCGAGGCCGCCAGGGTCTCAAGCTCACAGATGTGCTGTCCCCTCCACAGCGCTGGGGGCGGGTTCCTGTGCACTGAAGGGAGGAGCTGTGTGCACCCCTTGTCATCCTGCCACCCCCACCCCCGAATTGCTAATCGAAGGCGTCAAGGCCCTGGGTGCTGGGCTCCAAGGCTGGGGTTCACAAGGCATGGGGGACCCCCCTCCTTGCATCTGTTCCCTCAGCGCCCCCATTGCTGAGCGCTCCCCACATCCATTTCCGGAGAAGGGTCAGGCCCTGAAGTCGGGCTGCCTGGGCTGGGGCAGGGCCTGGCTGTGGTCCCTACCCATCAAGGCGGGCAGTCCTAGTGCCCTCTTCGGAGCTGACTCTCTGAATGCTCGCAGCGCTGCCCAGCACACCAAGCACAGCTCGGGGGACCCCTTGGAGTGCCCTCTCCAGCCCAGAAGCATCCGCCTCCATCCAGCCTCGGACCCTCTCTCCCCCCAGCTGCCACGTCCCACACTGGGGTTGTCTGTTCCTGCCTTGGCGCTGTCTGCCTGTCCCTCTCTGCACCATTAACACATGTACGAACACAGTCACAGATCACTAACGACAAAATGCATGGTTAGGCGATGTCGTCGCTGTGCGAACATCACCGAGTGGACTTACACAAACCTGGACCGTGTAGCGATGACACACCCAAGCTGTGTGGTGCTCATCTTGTGGGACCTGCGGTGTGTCTTGAGGTCCGCCGTGACCAAAACGTCGTCCTGCGGCGCATGAGTATTGAGCGTCTGCCTCTGTTCAGGGTTGCTAATCGTGATGGAACCCAGCCAGGATGCCTGCTCTCGGGGAGCTGTCTCCTTGGAGGAGTCGTTGCACACACAGCTCTTAACAGCGCTGCCCCAATGCCGGGGCATCAGCTAAGGGCGCCCGGTAACGGTATGGGTGGCTCCCTGGGGGTCCCCTGTCCAGAGCCACGGACTGCTGCAGGGTCCCCCGGCCCACGAACAAGCTGCTTCTCTTTTAGCATTCGCCTGTACGAGGGACTGCCCCCTCCCAGCAGGGTCGGCCGTGGGCGCCAGTGGCGAACAGAGAAGCCAGGCCCCGTCCTGGCCTCCCCTCCTTCTGCCCCCGCTCCCCCTGCCACCTGCTCTTGAGTCCGGCCGTCACCTCTCGTCCCTGCCGCTGCTGCTGGGGGTTCTCCCGAAGCAGGTCTGGCCCCAGCCGCCCTTGCTCTAAGCCTCCCACTGCTCACCCTCGAAGACCTCGTCCTCACAGGCCAGGGCCACGCCCTGCCCTGCAGCCCCGCCCTCCCTGCACCGCCCCCCAGCCACACTGGCCGCCTTGGGGGCTCTGGACCCAGCCTGGCTCCTTCCTGCCCAAGACAGTTGGCTGCTCTCTCCGTCACCCCGTCTTTGCCTCACCCCAGCTGTAATTAACTCGCTCCTGTGTCTCCCCACTGGACATGGAGCCCCTTGTGGACACACCCAGTCCCCTTCAGGCTGTGGCCTCAGTGCCCTGCAGTCCATCAGGGGAGGCTGGATGAATGAGCCCTCGTTTTACAGATGACCTAACCAAGGCACAGAGAGGCGAGGGGCTGGCCTGAGGTCACACAGCTAGAGAGTGTGGGGCTGGCATCAGAACCCAGGTCTGGGGGCCTCTGGCTCTGCCACTTGCCTTTCCTGCCTTGTCCTTCCCCTCGGGGTGGGAACCTTCCAAGCGGGGGGGTCTAGAGCAGCGCCCCATGGACTAGGGGCCAGCTTCCCCCGTGACCGCCTCAGCCCTGGTCACTTGGGCCCCAGGACCTAGAGTGGGTTCAGTTTGGCAGCCAGGCCCCTGGAGGGGCTCTCTGGGCCTGTCCTGTGCCTCCACGTGGTGCCTCAGTTTCCCCTCCCTCCTCCCACAGAGGGCCAGCTCCTGGCCTGCCCGGCACTGAGTCTGAGCTCCTGTGAGGTAGGTGCTGCCTTCTAACTGGGAGTCCCCGTCAGTGCCTCCCCTTTCTCATTGCCTGAAGTTGCCTTTAGGGATGGTGACAGTGATTTTGATGATGCTGAGGAAGGAGGGGGAGGGCACAGCTGAGGGAAATCACCACTTTCACTGCCCAGACAGACCCTGGTTTGAACCTTGTCCCTGTCACTCACTGTGACCTCGGGACAGTCCTTAACTCCCCATGGCCTCAGTTTCCCCAGCTGAGAGATGGGAGTATCAAATAGCTCCATAGGCTTGCTGAGAGGATCAGGGAGCTCAGGCAGGTCCCCCGCGGGCTCCCCTGGGAGCTGGAGGGGCAGGGCCGCATGTCCCTCAGAGTCTGCAGAATCAGGTTGGTCTTATCAGCGTCTGTTTCCAAATGGAGAAGAGGGGTTGGAGCTCTCGGTTCCAGGAGCTTGACAGTTCTGGGGCCAAGACTTACCCTGGCCCCAGAATGCACCTCTGAGCCCGTGGGCACATGGTTGCTTCTCTTCCTCCAGGCAGCCCTTTCAGAATGAACCAGGTCTTACCAGCTAGGGCCCAACTTCCCACCGTGTCCCCAGTGCTCAGCCCATGGAGGCAGCTCAGAATGGACTCGCTAATGAACGAAAACCGTGCAAGATGCGTGAAAGCTACCATGGGTATGGGGAAAGAAGAGCTGGGGGCTCTAGTTAGTTCCTGCCCCAGGGCCTTTGCACACACTCTTTCCGCCTTTCTCCTCTTCCTCCTCACCAGCCTGATTCGGCTCAGCCTCTTCTCACCCTGCCCTGCCCATTCAGGACCACTGCCCTCTACACCCTATGGAATTGCAGGAGACTCACTTTTACCAGCGGGGGCTTCTTGTAAAGCCACATCGGCCTTCCAGGCTCTTTTATGATTGCCCCCAGAGTATGCACATGCCCTTTCCACACAACCAGGTCTTCCTCCTGGGTTGGAATGTGCCGGAATTTGCACTGATGGACTGGGCTTGGATGGAGGGCTTCACACATCTGAGAGGGTCCCCCAGGTGGTTCCTCTACAGGATCGGGGTGGGCTCCCTGAGCAGGGTCACAGGCCATCCCTTAAATTTGTATTTCTTTCCCCCTCCCCCAGCACTTTAAGGTCAATTTGCATAAATCAGATGTGTGTGCTATGATTTCACACATTTATTTTTAAGTACTACTTACTTTTGTAAATAGTCAATACATTCACTAGGTTCAAAATTCAAAAGACCCGAGTGTCCGTGGCAGGTCCCTAGTTCTGCCCAGAAGAATCCAGTCTTAGGTGTCTGTCTCTTGCTCTCTCCTCTCTTTCACAGCTTTATTGAGACGCACATTTCACAGAGTGCATCGTGTAAAGCGTACACTTGAGTGGTTTTCAGTATGTTCACAGAGCTGTGCGACCGTCACCACAATTGTAGAATGTTTTTCTGTACAGCAAGAAGAAACCCTGCGTCCCTTTGCTCGCACCTCCCTGGGCCTCCCCTCCCCCAGCCCCTGGCAGCCGCTAGTCTGCCGTCTGTCTCTGGATTTGCCTATTCTGGATATTTCTAACTGGGATCATGTAATATGTGGCCTTTTGTGATTGGCTTCTAGCATTTAGCATAATGTTTCAAGGTTCATCCACGTTGTAGCATGAATCAGCTTCCTTCCTTGTTATGGCCGAATAGCATTCCGCTGTATGGATGGACCACACTGTGTTTATCCGTTCACCAGTTGATGGGCAATTGGGTTGTCTCCCTCTCTCGGCCATCGTGACTAGCGCTGCTGTGACCACGCAGCACAGGTTTTTCTGTGGGTCTGTGTTTTCATTTCTCTTGGGTGTAACCTGGGAGTGGAATTGCTGGGTCGTGTGGTAACTCCGTGTTGAACCATTCGAGGAACCAACTGCCAGACGGTTTTCCCCGGCAGCTGCGCCATTTGACACTCTCGCCAGCAGCCCAGGCGAGTTCTGATTTCTCTTCCTCACCAACACTTACTTATCTTGTTTATTCTAGCCGCCTAGTGGGTGTGAAATGGTGTCTCATTGTGGTTTGGATTTGCATTTCCCCGATGACTAGTGATGTTCTCCTGCAATTTCATGGTTTCTTGAGCGGTCATGCAGTCATTCAGCAAACAGTGATTGAGAGTCCTGTGCTCAGCACTATGGATACATTGTGAGAAACCGGATGGCCCTGCCCTCGTGCTGTTTCTCTGCCGGTGCCCTTCCGAGTGACCCTGTGGGTGCAGTGCCGTGATGGTTAATGCACACGGGGTGCTCTCGGTGTGAACTCACTCAACATTCAAGCATGTGTGTGTCAGTATGCCTTCGCCCTCCCGTCTGCGAGGAACAGCATGTGGCCACCCTGGCCTGGAGCTGAGTTAGCTGTTTTGACAGTCTGTCCTAGAGGCGAGTCTGGCCGTGCCAGGAGTGGGTGGCTCTGTGCGGCGCTCACGGCAGATTCTGCCGGCTGGACTGCCACGCTCCCTGTGTCTCCTGCGCAGGTGAGGTCCGTGAGGGCAGGCTGCCTCTGCGCCTGACCACGTCCCTCTCTCTGTCTCCCTGTCCCCCGTGCAGCCGCCGCCATGGCACAGACCCTGCAGATGGAGATCCCAAACTTCGGCAACAGCATCCTGGAGTGCCTCAACGAGCAGCGGCTGCAGGGCCTGTACTGTGACGTGTCCGTGGTGGTCAAGGGCCACGCCTTCAAGGCCCACCGGGCTGTGCTGGCTGCCAGCAGCTCCTACTTCCGGGATCTGTTCAACAGCAGCCGCAGCGCCGTGGTGGAGCTGCCGGCGGCCGTGCAGCCCCAGTCCTTCCAGCAGATCCTGAGTTTCTGCTACACGGGCCGGCTGAGCATGAACGTGGGCGACCAGTTCCTGCTCATGTACACGGCTGGCTTCCTGCAGATCCAGGAGATCATGGAGAAGGGCACCGAGTTCTTCCTCAAGGTGAGCTCTCCCAGCTGCGACTCGCAGGGCCTGCACGCCGAGGAGGCCCCGTCGTCCGAGCCGCAGAGCCCCGTGGCGCAGACGTCGAGCTGGCCAGCCTGCGGCACCCCGCTGCCCCTGCTGTCGCGCGTCAAGACGGAGCAGCAGGAGTCGGACTCGGTGCAGTGCATGCCCGTGGCCAAGCGGCTGTGGGACAGCGGCCAGAAGGAGGCCGGGGCTGGCGGCAGCGGCAATGGCAGCCGCAAGATGGCCAAGTTCTCCACGCCGGACCTGGCCGCCAACCGGCCACCCCAGCAGGCCCCGGTGGTGGCGGCGGCACAGCCCACTGGGGTGGCTGTGGCGGTGGCGGCCGGGGCCGGGGCTGGGCAGCCGGCTGGGGGCGCAGCAGCCACAGGGGGCGTGGCAAGCGGGCCCAGCACCTCGGAGCGAACCAGCCCGGGCACCTCGAGCGCCTACACCAGCGACAGCCCCGGCTCCTACCACAACGAGGAGGACGAGGAGGAGGACGCGGGCGAGGAGGGCACAGACGAGCAGTACCGGCAGATCTGTAACATGTACACCATGTACAGCATGATGAACGTCGGCCAGGCCGGTGAGGTGCCCGCCCCGCCCCAGCCCCGCCCCGCCTCCCGCTGCCCCCGTGCCTGACGTGCTGCTGTCTCCCCACCAGCCGAGAAGGTGGAGGCCCTCCCCGAGCAGGTGGCCCCCGAGTCCCGGAATCGCATCCGGGTGCGGCAAGATCTGGCGTCTCTCCCGGCCGAACTCATCAACCAGATTGGCAACCGCTGTCACCCCAAGCTCTACGATGAGGGTGACCCCTCGGAGAAGCTGGAGCTGGTGACAGGTGGGCCAGCCTCGCTCCCTCCTCCCCCCGCTTGGGCCTCGGGGCCCTCTGGGCCAGTGGCCTGTGGCACGGCAGTTAGAAGCCAGACTTGGGGCCCACCGTCCACTGGCTGCGTCCTGTGGCAGCTGACACCCCTGGGCTTCGGTACACATCCAAGGCTGGCCTCCAGGTTTCCGCCCCAGGGACTGCTCTAAGTGTTGGCCTGCAGCGGGGGCCACCTGGGAAGGTAGACTGGCAGCTTCACAGGGTGCTGTGAGGGTTAAGTAGTGCAGTGGTTTAAGAATTGGGCCCTCGGGGGCCGGCCCCGTGGCGTAGTAGCGGTTAAGTGCGCGCGCTCCGCTGCTGGCGGCCCGGGGTTCAGATCCCGGGTGTGCACCGACGCACCGCTTGTCAGGCCATGCTGAGGCGGCGTCCCACATAAAGTGGAGGAAGATGGGCACGGATGTTAGCCCAGGGCCAGTCTTCCTCAGCAAAAAAAGAGGAGGATTGGCATGGATGTTAGCTCGGCTGATCTTCCTCACCAAAAAAAAAAAAATTGGGCTGTCGGAGTCGGGGTGCGTGGGTGTGAGCCTCGGCTGCCGGTTCTCTCTGCCACCCAAGTGGTTGTGCGGGCAGAAGGCATGGAGGTGCGAGCAGTACCTGGCACGTCGTAGGTGCCCCTGTGGACGCTGGCACCATGGCCTCTCCTTTTCTGAGCGCTGGCAAGGCCACCCTGGGGCCAGTTGTCGGGGAGGCTCTCGGGGGCCTGGCCACGCGGGGAATGTGGCACTTGGGGCCCCCGGCCACCCTCCGGCTCCCCCTCCAGGCACCAACGTGTACATCACGAGGGCGCAGCTCATGAACTGCCACGTCAGCGCGGGCACGCGGCACAAGGTCCTGCTGCGGCGCCTCCTGGCCTCCTTCTTTGACCGGTGAGGCCTGGCCGGGGGCGGGGGCGGGGCTGCCCCATGCCCTCACCGCCACCACGGGGGCCTGATCTCCCCACCCCCACCCCTGCCCCAGGAACACGCTGGCCAACAGCTGTGGCACCGGCATCCGATCTTCCACCAACGACCCCAGACGCAAACCGCTGGACAGTCGCGTCCTCCACGCCGTCAAGTGTGAGTGTGCAGCCTTCCGGAGGCGGGCTGGGGTGGGGCTGGGGTGGGCAGGCGTTGGCCCTGATGGGTGGGTAGGGTCTGGTGTTCAGGATTGTGAGGCTAGTGGAGACTCGTTGGGAAGGACTGTGATTGGTTGGGGATTTCTTCGTTGGGGGGTGGGCACTGAAGGGAGGCCTGTGTCAGACGTGGGGAGGGGTCCTGCAACTCACGGTGGTCACGGGAGTGATGAAGCAGCCTGGCCCCGCCCCTGGTCAGGAGGGAACTCGAGGTTTTCCCGGGGAGTCTCCAGCTGCTAAGTTCTGGCAAATGATCCACGTCTTTCAAGAGCACCGGGCCATCCCGTCAGACTCACACATCCCTTACATGCAGCTGGGCTCAGTCGGGCCCGGAGCCAATGGCCGTGCTTTAGCGTGCTGTCGGCGAGGCCTCTGTACTCCCCTGCGAGGAGCCCGTGCGTGTGTGCTTGGGGGGTCAGGAGCTGCAGGGCCCAGTGCCTGTCTGCGGGGCGGGAGGTCAGGCCACGCTCGGCCTGATGCGCCGCTCTGCCCGCACAGACTACTGCCAGAGCTTTGCCCCCAACTTCAAGGAGAGCGAGATGAACGCCATCGCGGCCGACATGTGCACCAACGCCCGGCGCGTCGTGCGCAAGAGCTGGATGCCCAAGCTCAAGCTGCTCACGGCCGAGGGCGACGCCTACACCACCTTCATCAGTGACACGGGCAAGATGGACCCGGACATGATGGGCGTGGAGCACGGCTTCGAGCCGGCCAGCCACGACAGCGAGGCCGGCCCCTCGGCAGAGGCCCTCCCATAACCTGCGCCAGCCTCCCGAGGGGCCTAGCTCTCGTCTCCCTCCACACCCGCCCGCCGTCCTGGTCACGACTACTGTCCCTCCCTCCCCGGACCCACGGGGGGCGCTGCATGCTCCCGGCCCCTCTGCCCCGCCCCACCCCAACCTCCACCCGAGCGGGCACGGCTGGGGCGGGCGGGCGGGCGGCGCGGTTTGTGTGGCCTTCTCGAGCACACACTCGTGCACGGTGGGAGCTCTCGCTCCCCCTCCTGAACTCCAGCAACTGTCTCCCCACTCCCCGGGCCAGGCACGGGCAGGGCCGGCTTGGGGGGCTTGGGAATGCGTCCCCCCCCCCCAGCCCTGGGCCCCACACGGAAGCATTCCTCAGGCTCTGCCCCTCACTGCGGCCCCTCAGGACTCGAAGGGGCCCTGGGGTCCTCTGGACCCCTCCTGCCACCACCTCCCAGTGCTTCCACGTTTCCAAAAGCGCCTTCCTGTCTCCCTCGTCTGTCCCCGCTCCTGGGGCTGGGGTAGGCGAGGCTGCAGGGCTGCCCATTATAGCCAGGAAACGGGCCCAGAAATTCCACAGGCCTGCGGTGGCAGCCCGGTGCCCGTCTCTCCCTGCTGCCGGGCGCAGCCTCTTGCCCCCATCAGTCCCCTGCGGCCAAGAGGGGCAGGTCCTGAGTGAGGGGCCCTTGGGGGCAGACCGAAGGGCTGTAAGGACAGAACGAGGGGTTTCTGGGGTGGAGAAGCGTGTGTGTGCGCGTGCGTGTGTAGAAGTGTTGCTTTTAAACAAATGAAGGTAGAGGAGGCAGTAGGACCAGGGTTGGAACCCAGGGGGGCAGGCTGGGGGGCTGCTGTCCCCCCTCCCTTCCCCACCCCCACCCTGCCCCACGGCAGGGCTCCCAGCCCCCACGCCCTGTACATACTTTTTAAAACATTTTTTTAGCTAATGAAATATTGAAGTATAAGATTCCTTTTATTTTTCAAACCAACGGGACTATGTCTGATGTCCCCTTCGGTCCCGGGGGCCATGGAAGTCAGGACTGGGTGGGGGCCGGGGGCAGGCTGCGTGTGTGAGTGTGGAGTGTGGGTGCGTGTTCCGGGGGGTCCCAGGCCCAGCCGCCTGACTCCTGTGGGTCCCACCAGCTGCTTCTGCCCCCCGCTGCTTCCCCTCGGGGCTGCCTCTGAAGGGTGTCCCTGGCCAGTTGGCTGAGCCCAGCTCTGGGGACAGTGCAGGGCCCACTTCCATTGTTAGCAGCTGTTTGCAGAATCTTCTCTCTAACCATTCCTCTCCTCGCCCAGGGCGAGTGGTTTTGTTCTGAGCTGTACTTGTGAACTTGGAGGGTTTTGTTACTCCCCATCCCCCACACTGGGTGTCACTTCACGTTTTGTGTTTTTGTCTGGAGCCCTGTCCTTACAGCCTCTTGTCTCCTCCCCAGCTGACCAGCTGGAGCTCTCAGTGGCCTCTCTCCCCAGAGGCAGGGGTTTGCGGGGGTGGGCTGGGGGCCAGCCCCCACAGGACCCCTGTACTCTGCCTGGCCTGGGGGGCCTCCAGCTGACTGGCAGCCTGCAGGGAGGGGGTCTCTCCTGACATCTGCTTGTTGCGGGGGGTGGGGATGCTGGGTCCGGCTGGGGCCCTGGCGCTCCGCTGGCCTGCCCCGGCCCCTTAGCCCCGGCGGGCGGCGTGTGGGGGGAGTTGACACCCCCAGCTAAAGCACAAGCACCTTAGTCACGCCCCTCCTGCCCCCCCCCCCCCCGTCCCAGCCTCGACACCCCACCCCAGCGTCGATCCCAAAGCACAACACCCTGCTTGCTTGGTAAGCCGCCTGGCCCGCCGAGGCCGAGGGGCAGGCTGGGGCCCCACCAGACCCCAGAGGGAAGCAGCAGTCCCCAGGCGCTCCCCTCCTTCCAGGCCTTAGTGGGGGCCGGCTTTCTGGGACTGGGGTCTTCTCCCTCCCCACCCCCTTGTCCTGGGCAGGCCCCTGCCCAGCCCTCCCTGCCTTGTCCTTGGGTGGGCTTGCCCGTCCCCCTCCAAGCCCCCGCAGCACTGGGTTGGGTGGCAGAGCTCCTTTCAGGGACCCCAGGAGGTGCCCCTGGCTCCCGGGACTGTGTGTGTTGTCTGGGCGGGTGGGGGGTGGGGAGAGGGGCCCGGCGGGGTGCAGGGGGGACACTCCTCCCCAGGAGAGCCAAAGACAGGGTTGTGCCTTACCCCAGGAGCCACCCCTGCGCCCCTCCCGCCCTGCTCCTCCTGGGCGTCCTGCTGCTTTTCCTTCCCCCCCGCCCCGCCCCGCCCCAAGCTGCATGGCCCCCCACCCCGGGCAGCCAGGAAGTAGCACGAACGGAGAATCGCTGACCAACGCAAAAAAGACGGGGTCCGCTTCCCCCGGCCGCCCGCTCACCCGCGCCTCTCCCACACGGACAGACTGCGCCCTGTCCGTGTGGAGTGCCAACGCCCTCCCCCCGGGCCAAGCCCCGTCCCCGGGCCCGAACGTGAGATTGCACATTAACTACTGTAAGGAGAAGAGCCGCACTGGGAAATGTGAACCTGAGAGTATCAGTGATACTGACGAGGAGAATAAACGGACGCCTTTGTAACAGCCTGCCTGCCGCCTGCTACTCACTGGGGCCAGGGGGCCTTCCCGGAGCGACCCCCGCCTCCGGGCCCTCACACTGACGGGTGCAGGGGCTCCGCTGGGGCTGGGGGCTGGGATCAACCATGCCCTTTTCAGGTGGGGAAGCCGAGGCTCACAGCCAGGCCGCTGATGGCTTCCACTTAGAGCACCCTTCCAGCTACCCTGGTACGTAGACACAACACCCCCCAGGCTGTCCCTGCACACGCGAGCCCGAAATCCTGCACGGGCGTCCCACGGGAGCCCCTTCTGTGGTCTGACCCCTAGAAACACATCCTGTACACCCACACCCCGCACCCCTCCTGAGCACACATCCCACGTCAGAAGAAGGAACATGGAAGCTGAAATGGCAAGTCTAAATTCAGCCAGTGATCGTCGACATACCTGGGAGAGCTGTGGGGTCCTGAGAATGTGAAAGGACAAAAGGTCCTGGCGGGGGTGGTTCCCATTGATTCAGAGATGTTTCAAGCAGTGTGGGAGGGTCATTACCCATTTTAGGGTAAATAACTCAAAAAGACCTTTGCTGGGAGGTGGACAGTGAGGCTTCCTCTCCGCCCAAGCCAGGTCCGTCCACCCCAGGCTGACTAGGGGAGTGCAGCGATCTGTGGGGAAGGTGGCCGGGTGGTGCCACAAAGCTCGGGGCGGCTCAGGTACGTGTCAGTGAGACCAGCCCCTCTGGAGTCCTGAAGCCCAGCTTCAGCCACCAGAAAAGAGGGGTTTTGAGAGCCAACAGCATCGCCAACAAAAACCCAGAGGTGACAACCAGAGTCACCTCAAGTAACGGGAAGTCGCTCTGTCTGAACAAATGTAGGCAACCCTAGGTAAGGGGAGACAGCATTTGACTCCCAGAAGCGAGCCTGTTGACCCCGGGAAGACTCAGACTAAGTATGGAATGGATCAAGAGAGCCCAACCCATAGCACTGATGGTTTTGCATAAAAAAAGGAATCTGGGGGCTGGCCTGGTGGCAGAGCAGTTAAGTTTGCGCACTCCCCTTCAGCAGCCCGGGTTCACAGGTTTGGATCCCGGGCACAGACTGGTGCACTGCTTGTCAAGCCATGCTGTGGTGGTGTCCCACATAAAACAGGAAGATGGGCACGGATGTTAGCCCAGGGCCAATCCTCCTCAGCAACAAAAAAAAAAAAAGAGAAAGCTACATATTTGGTTCTTTTTAAGATTTGACAAATGGGTCTCGTGGAATGATACCCTCGTAACACACAGCACTTCACAGGGTGTAAATGAGCAACCGAGACGCACGGTTCTGATGTCAGGTCACATAACGCGAAGGATGGAAACACCTAAGATGACGATCTAAGGTTCAGGTACTTACAAGTTTCCCTGGCTTCTAGAGTCATTTCGTACTCAGGAAGGCTCCACGGCAAGGCCCTTAGGTTGACAAATGCTGCCTTGATAGAGTGACATATCACAGAGGGACCAAAGTGACTAGGTGCACAGTGGAGCCCAGCGTTACTCAGAGGCCCCTCAGAAGTCACCGCTCAGCTCCGCGGCTAAGCGATTTACCTACCTTAGGCACAGGACACAAAGATGTTTATGCTGAACTTCAAAAGCTCAAGAAAGAATTCGAGTTTGGGATTTTCAATGCTAATAAAATTATCCATCATGAAAAGCAAGAAATAAACCAGACTAGTCTTTTCTGTCCCAAATATCGACTACTGAAATCCCTAACATACACACGTGCGCACACACACACAGCCCCCTGGGCCCCAGTGTGTGCAAGCAGGGAGCTAAGAATGGGAGTTCCCAACTCAGGGGCAGCCACAAGTTTCAACAACAGACCATATGATACAAATATGTACAAAAAAGGCTGGGATTTTATTTCCAAGTTGGCACATGGAGAAGGCACAGAGGCGAATGGCTTTGGGGCACCCGAAGCAGAAATGGGGAGAGGTGTGTCTGAGGTCCCCCTACCGCCACCACCCCCTAAGCGCACTTGAGGCAAGACCAGCAGTAGGGGCTCTGCCTAGGGCCCTGAGGGTCCCAGTGGCTCTGAATGCTAGCCTTGGGACAGCTCCCCAGACAGAAACCCCTCCTCCCAGAGGGCCGGGTCCTGACAGCCCCCCAGCTAGAGGGACCAGCCCCCTGGGGAGGGCCTGGGTCAGAGAGAGAAGAGCAGGATGAGAACGAGGAGAAGCACCCCCAGCAGTACCACAATGGCACACCACTGTCGGCGGTCTGGGGGTGAGAGGGTCAGAGGTCACTGCGGGAGGGGGCACCACCCACAACCCACTCCCCCCACCCCAGAATCGCCTCCCCGGGGCACTCACCACTCGTCATGTGGGATACTTTCGCCATCTTCCTGAGGACCCCGTCCATCCGGGACTGGGTGTGGTCCATCTCATGAGCAAAGGCGTCCAGCATGCTGCCGAGACCAGGGTGGCGTCAGCGCCCGAAGGGTCCATGCACACCAGTGCAGCCGGCCGAGGGCTCCCGGCCCACCCCCGGGTCCCGGCCTCACACGCCCTGCTCGTCCAGCTCCTCCCCGACGCGGCCAGACATGTGTTTCAGAACCCGGATGCTCCCAGACACCATCTCCAGCTGTTGATCTTGTCGGTCCATGATCAGCTGCAGGTCGGAGGAGTGGGAACTGCCGTCAGCAAAGAGCCCTGAGCTGTCCACAGGCTCCTCCAGCCCAGCCCCCGACCACCCACACAAACCTGCTGCGTGGCCTGCTGCTCCTCCAGGTATCGAGAGGCTGCCGACACCACGCTGGCGGCCAGCAGGTCACTGGAGGACTTCTGGGTGGCTGGCTTGCCGGTCAGCATCTGTGGGGGCACAGACCCCAAGCTCAGGGAGGGATGCCTGCTCACAGCAGAGCCAGGCACAAGTTTGTGCAGATCTAGACGGTGCTTAGTCAGGAAGCTTCCCCAGACCCACCACTAACTAGCAAGGTGACCCCTAGGCCATATCACTTGACCTCCCTGTGCCTCAGTTTCCTCATCTGTAAAATGGGAGAGCTATAATCTCTGTTTCCTGGAGCTGGAATGAGGATTTAATGAATTAATCCATGGAGAACTCTTATCATCAGATAAACAGGCATATTTAAGAATTGGACTTTAATCCCGAAGTCCATACTCCTGGATGGCACGTGGGCACCTGCTGCAGAACTCCAAGCTGATGCAGGCCTCGGCCCCCCACCCTCCCAGACCCCAAGTAGGCTTATGTGGGATGGGGAGAGGCTGGAGTTTCCAACATGCAAAGAATGGACACAGCACAGAGACACAGACAGGTGCACAGACAGAGGAAGATGCGGATACACTGAGAGGTCAAGTTCACACGCTCAGATGGGTCAGGCACATACTCACAGAAAAAAGGTAGGTGTACATCCTGGCAACGGTAAGACAAAGAGAAAAAAAGGAGATAGGTATACAGACATCCCCTCTTTCCCGGGAAACCAGTATAGACCCACAGAGGAAGGCAGAGGAGATTATACACACAGAGCGGAGTCAGGCTCAAAGGGGAGGGTCTCCCAGAGGCTCAGCGAGGGTGCTGGGTCAGCAGGCTTTACCTCTCTGGTATTCCTCTCCATGAAGGCCACAGCTGCCGGGCTGACCATATGGTCCTTCATTTCCTAGGGGTGAGGACAGCGTCAGGGAGTAAAGACGCCCCAACCTCCCCACCTCGCTCCATCAGAACCTCTCCTCACCTGGACCGCCTCCCGCATCCTCTCCACGAACACCTTTCTCTCCTGCAGGTCTCCGGCCGGGAGCTTGAACTTGCCTGGGTTGGCTTCCACTATGCGTAAGCCGCCAGTCGAGTCAAGGCCACAGCCAGACACAACCCCCTCCTCCGCCTCAAAGCCCTCAACACCTCCCCGGTGTCTGGCCTCCCCCACGGGCTGGCTCCCAGCGCCCCCCGTCACCGCAATGGACTCTCCCATGCTGCCCTCCGACGCCCTAGGATATCGATGGTCTCCTCCAGGTCCTCGAGGTCCCACTCGATGCTGCGCAGGCCGTTCCGCAGCTCATTGGTCGTCCAGTCGAGCTCCTCGCGCCCGACCGCCGCGCTCTCCTGCAGGAGCTCGCACCAGCGCTGGTACAGCCCGCGGGCCGTGTTCACCGCCTTCTGCACCTCGCTGCAGGCGCGGGCACAGCGGGCGCGGCTGAGGGGCTCAGGAGACCCGCATAGCCCCCTGCCAACCCCTCCCACTCGGCCACCGGGCGATCCCGACCCGCGCACCCCGACGGCCGTGTCCGGACCGCCGGCACGCTCTGGCAGGCACCCGGGCACTGGCTGGCAGGGGGAGCGAGCGCCCTCTGCCCTTCCCCATCGCTGTCACTCACCCTCGGACTACAAAAAACGGGTCTTCGAGAGACATGTCAGCCGCCCACCCGAGGCCGAGCCCTCTCCCGTCTCGGCCTTGCTCGCTGGTTCCCTCGCAGCCTTGGAGAACGCGCCGCCACCCCCGCCCCCGTCACGTGACCCATGCGGCCATCGAGAGCGGGTCCGCCAGGAGAGAAAGAGAGGCCTCGGAGGCCCCAAGTGCGGAAACTTCCGCCCTCTCCGCAGCCATCTTGGTTGTGGGCAGAGAAGGCTTCCTGTACGCATGCCCCGCCCCTTCGCGTCCGCTCGCTGCGGCAATGTCCTAGTTCTGCACGGCGGGGTTCGGGTCGGAGCTCGAAGTCCCTCGGTTCGAGACCTAGCCCCTCGGGTTGCTGCTGCGCAACCTCAGTTTCCCTTCTGTGCAATGTAAATAATAATAGCTTCCTTCAAATCAGGGGAGATTATGGCTGCGGTAGAGGCTCATTCGATTCGTAGATCCTCTTAAAGGACTCCCCGAGCCCGCACCCGGATCCTGTCCTGGGACATCGTCCCAGCCCAGGGTCGGAAGTGGCACTGGGAAGGGGTGGAGGGAGAGGCGGTCCTCTCCACCTTGCCGCGGGGGCGGGGTGCGGCGCGGGCATTCTCCGGTGGGCGGTTCTGGGGGACTCTCCCCTCCTCCTCTTTATTCCTGCGGAGGAGGGGCGCCTCGAGGTCGCCCTGCGGCGGGGTGCCGTGAGTGGGGGCCCCGGAGGTGCTTCTGGAGGTGGGGCCTTTCTGGGTGCAAGCCTGGGAGTCGCAGGAGGGGGGTGTGGTGGTGGCTCTGAGGATGGTCCGCAGGGAAGTCCTCTGCGTGTGGGGTCCCCGTCTGGGGAGGGGCCAAGCCAGGAATGTCTGGGGAGCCACTCATAGGGTCGCCCCTAGTGTGACAGAGTTCTGTGTGAGGTCTCCGGGAAAGCACTTTTTGGGGGGAAAGGGGGGAGCCAGCGCCTGAGTGAGGTCCTGATCTCCCTCTGGAGGGTGGGCGGGATGTCTGAAGAAGTCCTGGAGGGTCGCTCCTGTGCGTGTCAGAGTCCTGTGTGGGGTCTCAGAGATAGTGCCTGGGCTGGGGATGTCATTGTGGAGTCTGGGTGGTGGTGGGGGGGGGCGGGCATGGGGGCGTCCTCAGCAGGTCGCTGTAATGTGTGGCGGGATCGCTGAATGGGGAGTTTTTGAAAGGGTCTTTTAGAAGAGAGAATAATTGTTGAGTTCCCATGTGCGCGGGGTGGGGGGGTTACGGGGCGGGACCTGAGCGCGCTCCAGGGGTGCATGAGAAGATCAATTTTGGGGAAAGGGGCAGGAATACATGGAATCCTCGTAGGGGAAAATAACTGGGGGTCTTCGCGGGGGGACAGGGATGAAGGGGTCCTCAGGGAGTCGCCCCATGTGTTGGCAAGGTCTTTGTGTAGGGTCTCTGGGAGATGGCGTCATTGGGAGCCCTGAGGTCGCCCCTACCAGCCGGTGGGGGGCTTTCCCGGAGGGCCGTCAAGCCTTCCTGGCCTCCGCAGGGAAGGAAGCGATACCTGCCTCTCCCTTCCTGCCCGCCCGGCTGGACGGTGGCCCGGAAGCCGCGGGCTCCGGCCAGGGCTAGCTGCCGGGAGAGGGGGAGGGGAGGAGGTGTGTCCGGGAGCCAAGGCCCCGCCCCCGCCCGCCCGGAAGAAGCCCGCTACTGCCGGGTACGGAGATCCCGGCCCCTGTCCTTATATGGGCAGCCGGAAGCAGTTCGCGCGCTATGCCCTACGTCACTGCTTCCAAATTTAGTTGTGGAAGTCTCGCGGAGCCAGTGGCGGGAAGGCTCCGCGCGCCAGACTGCGGGGGCGGAGCCTCCCCTTAAAGGGCCCGCGCGTGCCACGAATGAATGGAGCTTTTCGACAATTTTGCACTTTGTTTGGAGGAAGTGGAAACAGGTTTTCTTGGAGCCTTAGCGCGTAGCGGAGGGTGGGGCTGCTGTTGTCTGTCTATCTGCTCTATCTCTGCGTTGCTCAAGTTTCCAGGTCCCACCCCAGTCACGCCTTCCGCGGCGCAGAGGCGGAGCACGGCCGCGTCGTCCGGGGGGCGGCAGCCACGTGTCCACGCGGACTGTCGTGCGGCCGGCTCCCCCGCCTTCCGAGCGCCAAGCCCACCCGTGCGGCTCGTGCCGAGGGGAACTGGGGGGACGCCCAGTGCTGAGCGCAGACGCCGCAGCCCGGGCCGCGCTCGTGTCTGCAGACATCCGCCGCCCGTGGAGTGGGCCGCTTTGCCCTGGAGCCAGCCAGCGCCGCCCGCCTCCTCACCGCCCACAAACAAGGGGAGTGCGCCGGAGAGACGGCAGAGCTGGAGGCCCCGCTGGTCCCCTGTCACCGCAGCGGCCCACTTATTCGTTTAGCAAATACTGGACGAGTCACTCGACCTCGGGTTCCCCACCCGAGGAAATCAGGTACAACTGTCCCTCCGCGGAGTGGAGGTGAGGGATCAAGCAGGTATTTATGAAAGGAAAGCCCGTAGCAGCGCCTGGCACGTAGTAAGCACATCGTTATTCATTCAGAAAACATTAATTAGGCGCCTGGTGGATGCTGGGAACCGTGCCCACGGGGGATGTACCGGCTCCTACCCGGGTCTTCCCGGGTGCCCAGGGAAACCTGCCGCCTGCGACCCGCTGGGGCCGCCAGAGGCAAGCACGTGGGCGGGCCCTGAGCGCCCCCGCGGCCCCCCTCCCCGGGGCCTGCGCGCGGGCGCATTGGGGGACCCCGAAAAAGGAGACCACCCCGAGGGCTCAGCGTGGGCTGGGGCGCGCTCCTCCTCGCCCGGCTCCGGTCCCTTTTCTCCGCTGGGTAAATTCCACCCTGTCGCTTTAAGGAGGCTCCGGCCGCGGCGCGCTGGAAAGCCCGGATGGGGCTCTCTGACTGGGCGGGGCGTCTCCGGGACTTCCCTCCGAGTATAAAAGGCCCGGGTGGCGGGCGCCGGAGCAGAACGTCCGAGCGGTGTTCCAGCGTGGGTGGGCCCGCGGAGAAAGCGCGAGCGAGCGCGTCGTCCTGCGTGCACCTGTTCCCTGTCCTGCCCCGCCCCGGAGGCCCCGCCGCCGAGCCGCCATGGAGGTGCAGAAGGAGGCGCAGCGCATCATGACCCTGTCGGTGTGGAAGATGTACCACTCGCGCATGCAGCGCGGTGGCCTGCGGCTGCACCGGAGCCTGCAGCTGTCGCTGGTCATGCGCAGCGCCCGGGAGCTCTACCTCTCGGCCAAGGTGGAAGCCCACGAGCCCGGGGCGCCCTTGCCGCCCGCCCGCTCCCCTGACCCTCGCTTGCACCCGCGGGAAGCGGAAGCAGCAGCCGAGGCAGCGCTCCTCGACGGCGAGCAGTCCTCTCCGGAGCCCATGGACACACAGGAGGCGCCGAGAGCCGAGGAGCCCCCCGCCCGCTGTGCCCCGCGCCCCGCCAAAGTCAGCCGCAAGCGGCGGAGCAGCAGCCTGAGCGACGGCGGGGACGCCGGACTGGTCCCGAGTAAGAAAGCGCGCCTAGAAGAGGAGGAGGAGGGGGCCTCTTCGGAGCTGCGAGATCGCCTGCAGCCTCCGGCGCAAGCCGAGGGCGCCTTCCCCAACCTGGCGCGCGTCCTCCAGCGGCGCTTCTCCGGCCTCCTGAACTGCAGCCCCGCCGCCCCCCCGACGGCGCCGCCGGCGTGCGAGGCGAAGCCGGTCTGCCGCCCGGCGGACAGCATGCTGAACGTGCTGGTGCGGGCCGTGGTGGCCTTCTGAGGGCCCCCGAGCGGCGCGATCGGAGCCCAGAGCGCGGGCCGAACCGTCGGCCTGAGTGCGCGGACCCGAGGCGAGGCCAGCCCCCGGGGGAGCGCCCGCGGAAACCGTGGAGAGGAGCCGCTGCCGGGGCTGCCGAGAGGCCCGGAGACGGACTCTGCCCCCGGGGGCCGTCGCCAGGTGCGAGCAGCGGCGGCGCCGAGGAGCCTGAGCCGGGGGCGCGGGCGCCTTCCGCCGAGACCGGGCGCGCCCACAGGTGCTGTCTGAACGGACTGGGCCGTGGCCCTTTCTCTCTCCTGGGACTGGGAGAAGGGAGGCTTGGTTCTTTCCACTTCTCAGGGTCGGACTTGACTTCTTCACTGGGGGCTGCGCTGCCCTTTCAAGGTTTTTCGGTAGTTGGTGTCGGCGTTTCCAACCTCAGAGAATTCCAGGCCCGCCCTTCCCCCTCTAGTGACATACTTGTGCAAGCGGTCATTGTTGCGTCATGGGCCCGACTTGGGGCGCTTCCTGTTGGCCTTGCGTGGGTGTGGGCCCTGGGAGGAGGGTCTGGGTTGTGCACCGCCCTGGGGAATGGGAGGAGGGCGGCCTGAGTCACTTCGCCCCCGCGTGCTGCGGGTTAGTGCCCCGCGCCCCTGCGCCTTCGGGTGGGGGTGGGGCCTGATCTAATTTCAGGTTAAAGTTTTCTCATCTGGTGCGTTACAAGTGGGAATATGGTCACAGTCTCCAGCGTGACCTTCCCTCAGACACGCTGATCCAATCGACCCAGACGTTCCTGGTGTGAATCACAAAAAGGGGGGAGGGGGTGTTCAGGGCGCTATAAGGCTGAGCCGGGACCAGTTGCTGGTGGGACTGGGCCAGTATGGGGAAGGGGAGATTCTCGCCAGGGCGTTCCGAGGGTCTGTTTACTTGTTTACTGTGGTGTCTTCTGTTTAACTCCGTCTATCTGGCCCTTTGCTAGAAACGCCAGATAGAAAAATAAAGACCATTTGGATAAAAAAACTGCTGCCCGTCTGGTTTTCTTCCCTGGCGGGGGAGGGGCAGGGTGAAGGGGTCAGGGGCTGGCGGCGGCTTGCTGGGGCCCAGAAACCGGTCTGACCGGCTCCCACGTGGGCAGAGTGGGCGGGAGGAGGGGCTGGGCCCCTTTTTCTTTGCCAGAGCAGTTACGTGCGGTGCGCCCTGGTCCCCACATTTGGGGTTCTTTAGAAATTCCCCTACAACTAGGGGTGGGGAGAGGGCTTTCCGAGTTCAGATGTCTGGGGGGATACTTCTGGGTACAGTGCCGCGAGCAGAGTGGGGACCACGCCTCCTTTGAAGACTTGAAGGATGGCAGATGTCGCCCCCACCCCACTTGACCAAGTGCATGACCTCTGGCGGGGGTCCCACAGCCTAAGGGGGGGAGCTGAGCAGGTGACATTTGGGGCGCCCTCCCTTTATGCCCCTGTTCCAATCTCTGGCGGTATAATTGTGTGGCTCAGGCGGGGAGGTGAGCTCCCAGCCTCAGTTTCCTCATCTGTGTAGTGGGCTTCTGCACAGCTTCCCCGCGAGGCGGCTATAGGTTTAGAAAGGCCCGTGGGAGCCCTAGTTAGCTGCTTTGGCCCCAGCCCAGCTCCAGGTTAGTCACCCCAGAGGAGAAAATCCTCATCATTAACCCAAGGCTGGTTTAGAAGGGCTGTGGGCGTTGCCCCAGGGTGGGTGGCGGGGTGGCTGCTGAGAGGACAAAGGGGCCGCAGGTGCGGGGAGTGAGGGGGACGCGAGGCGCCGGGGAAGCGCCTGCCCCGCCTCCCGACGGCTGGCTCCGCGCTGCGGGCCTCCGGAGGCCCAGGGGACCTGACCCCGAAGCCGGAGGGCAGGAGGAGGAGGGTGTGGTGGAGGGCGGACCCGCCCCAGAGCGCCTGCCTGAGGCTCCTCTCCTGCCTCCACCCCCCCTGGGGGCCCCCCAGGGGAATCCAGCCGAGTCGCCTCCACCGCCGCCAGATTCCTTCCAGGGAAACGTGCGAGACTGGAGCGCCACCCACTCGGGGTCCTGACCCGCAACTCCCCAGTGGGACGCGGGGGGACTGCAGCCCCACCCCCCAGCGCTAGCTCAATGCGTCCGCGTGGGAGCAGCTCGCCCGCGAACCTGGCCCGGCCCGGGAAGTCCCCGGCGCTGGGGAGGGGGCCTCGCTGCGCATCCTGTCGCAGGAACCGCCGGGCCCTTCCTTCCGCGGGAAGCGGCTCGGCCGACCCCCGCCCCCGCCCGCGCCGCCTGGGGGTTTCCGGGGCCAGGCCACGGGGGCGGGGGGCTGCGGATGGTACCGTGGGAGACAGGACAAGCACCCGCCGCACATCCCCTTAAGGTATAGCCCTCCCCGAGACCCCATTTCCCCCATCAGAACGGGCACGATTGAAAGTTGTCACGGCCGACGTGGATGAGGCCTGGAGCCTTCACGCCGTTACGCGGCGCTGGGTCTCGGGACAGGCCCCCTGGGGAGAGCTCGATGGGACAACAGTTGTGAGAATGGAAAGTGTCCCATATCGCGTGACCAGCGGGCTCCCCAGGGAACCGAGGCCGCAGCGAGAGGCTCCAGAAGAGCGTTCACTACAGTGTTGTCCGAAATTGGCACAAACTGGAAACAACCCACATGCCCATCTCACCAGACCGGTCTGGTAGAATGTGGACTCTCCGTGGCTCCGCCCCAGGGGATGCAAGGCCTGAGCCAGACAGATCGACACGCTCTGGCCCCGGGGACAGCCGAGTGCCGGAGGCCGGCTGCGGACGTTGGGGGTAAGGAGCAGATTCTGGAGCCAGACAGCCAGCTTGACTTGCTTGCTGTGCAGCTTGGAGCAAATCGCTTCACCTCTCTGGGCCTCAGTTTCTCAGGCTGTAAACTGTGGACAATGCTGTCCCTATTATTTTAGTATTGTTAGAGGCCGGGATGAGAACAGTGTCGGCCATGTAGAAGCAGGCGCAGCAATGCAAGTATGTGGATTTGGGAAAGTGACCCGGTCAGCCTCCCCCCAGCTCCGGTTTGGTGGAATGCTAGCCACGTGACAGGGTCGCTCCTTCCCTCCTCCAGGCCTCGCCCTCCGGGGTTGCTCCCCCTCCCCCACCAGCGGCTGACCTCAGGCCCTGGGCCCCTCTCTGACCGCCCCTGCCCCTCGGTAGCCTCATTCGTCTTAGAGCTCTAAATGCCGCGTTATGCTGACTCTCCATCCTGGACGCCCCCACCCTCCGGACTCCGCTGTCAAGCCCTCTCCCTGCGTCTCCTCCCCGGGGTCTCAGGTGTTTCCAACATAAGAGGACACGAAGAGGAGTCTTGCGATTTCCTGCCAGCCTTCCAGTGGAGGAGTCCTCCTTGACTCCCTCCTTCGCCTTCCCTCACACCCTGTCCAGTCTCAGTGCTGTCAACTTGACCTCTTGCCCCACACCCAGGCTTTCCCGGTCCTCACGGCTCCCCCCTGGTGTGAGCTGCATCGCCTCTCACCTGGACTATGGCAGTGGCTTCCTCCCTGCCCTTGCCCCCAGTCTCTTCTCGACAGCGGCTACACACAGATTTCATAGAATGCAGCTGGATCCTTGCACTCTGCCAGCTCCCCTCTGCTTCATCCACACTGGCCTCCTTCCTGGTGGAAGAACAGGCCAACCGTGTTCCAGCCCCAGGGCCTTTGCACTTTCTGTTCATGCTGCCTGCAACACTCTCCTCCCAGACCCCCACAAGTCCATCCTCACTTCTTCAGGTTTCTGCTGAAATGTCAACTCCCTGGGGGAAGCCTTCTGGGGCCACCTGATCTAAAGTAACACCCCACTTTGCCACTCTGCTCCTCGACCCTGCTCAGCCTTCCTCAGAGCCCTGCTCACCCGCTGAAAGGGTATGTTCACGTTCTATTTAGCATCTCTGCCTTCATTTTAATGTCAGTTCCAGGAATGCGCAGCCCAGGCCTGAATGAGTAAATGAGGTCGTCTGGGGTAAGCAGGTGTTAAATTCTCAATATTTATTAGCTCATTTAATCAGTGGCTTCCCGTGGCTCTTAGAATTTCCCAAACCTCAGAGAGTTGAGGGTCAGGGTTTTTGTCATATCTGTGTAACAACTGTACTATTATTTATCTAATTTTTTTTTAACAACCCACAGGTTAATCACTCACTATACTTAGAAAGTAACAGGTCCATAAAAGTTACAATGCAAATGAAACAATGTCATAAGATCCTGCTGAAACAGTAGCCAGTGTGAGGTCAGGCAGCTTTCTTAGTTACAAAGGAAGACTAGCATGGTTGAAGATATGTTATTGCTACAGGAAGACTGGCCATAGTCAGAAGTCTAACAGAGGACTGAAAGCTGAGAAGGCAGAGGCGGAGGGGTTCATTCCATGTTTTTCAAATAATATGGAATCACTTTGCCCGCTGTCCCAGAGTCAGGAAAATTCTGCTTCTGGAGGAGGGACGAAACCTACTGAAAGGCCCTGCTGGATCTGGGCCAGCCCATCTCTGGCCTAATCTTGCATCATCCTCTGTCCACACTGACCTGCTCTTTATTCCTCATGCTTCCACAATCTTCCCAGCCACAGGACCTTTGCATATGCTATGGTCCTCCTTAAAATGTTTTCTCTTCCCTATTCATTGAGTTAAGTCAGCTCAGCTCAAGGGCAAGTTATCAGGGAAATGTTTCCTGTCTGGCCCCCATTTTGGCCTAAGACTCCTATATTTATTGACGCTCAGATCAAGAGCTACTTTTTTCTCTTTTTTGGTAGTATTTATCACAACTGCAATTTTATATTTGCTTCTGGGTTTGTCTCCTCTTACAGCTTGTGGCCTCCATGAGGGCAGAGAGGAGTCGAGCAGGTGCTTACTAAGTGGTTTTTGTGAATGAAGGATGCATTTGCAAGTTTCCTTTGCGGTCGGTCCTTTTTATGTCCACTTTTTACGGACCGGGAAACTGAGGCCCAGGGAGGATCGCCCTGCAGGAGGACAAGTAGGGAACAGCCCTGGCCGTGTCGCCCATCCCGAGCTCCCTCCCCCGCTCCGCTGTGCAGGACCCTAGGGACAGGCGCCCAAGATCAGCCTCCGCTGAGCTGGGAAAGGGCCGGGCCACAGGTCTGGACCAGCGCAGAAGCAGCGCGCAGACCGGTTTGCCCGGTTCCAGGAACCTGGCGAGGTCCGCCCGCCCGGGGGGAAGGCGCAGGCCTCGGCCGGGCTGGAGCGGGGCCGGGCGGGGCCTGGATCTCCGCGGGGAACCTTTAGTCCGAGGCGGCGCGCTCGCGTGGGTCACTAGCCAGGGAGTGGGGCGGAGCGACCCGGGTGTCAATCACAGGGGGGCGGGTATGCAAATTGACCCGCCCGCGCTCGGCTCCGGGCCCCGCCCCGCGCGCTGCGCCGAGCCGCCTCCCAGAAGTCCGGCGCAGTCGGCGGGCCTGGACCCCGCGCCCCCGCGGCCCCTCCGGATTCCGAGACCCTCGGGGCGGGCTCGGGGCCGCGCGGGCAGGAGGAGGCGGAGGCCTGGCCGGGGGCGTTTGGGGCAGGGGGCCGCCTCGGGGATCAGGTAAAGAGCGCAAAGAGCAGAAGGGAAATGGGGCTAGCGGGAGATGAGGCTCCCGGTACCCAGCCTTGGCGTGGAGGCTCCTGAAGTGCCCCACCTGCGCCCGGGGAGCCCAGACCTCCCCACCTGTGTCCAGCCGACTCAGAGCCCCCACCTGTGTCCAGGGAGCCCAGTCCTTCCCCACCTGTGTCCAGGGAGCCCAGACCTCCCCACCTGTGTC